TTGCAAACTTCTTATCTGGTTCCACCTAAATTTCCTTGAACTTCGTTGTCAGTATCAGTAAAAAGCTTCTTAACAATAAGGTCTTTGATATCTGAGTCTAATACTTTCCATTTGTTTCAGCCTGTTATCAGTTCTTAGAAGTCAGCTATTCTGAAATACTAGAAAATGCATTTAAGTGTTGTTACTCATCTGGAAAAAATTGAGCATACTTTAATGGACAGAATGTGTAGACCAGACATTGCACTAAAGAACTATCTTTCAAAGGAGTCTAGGAAGGGTTTGTTATCAAGAGTCAAGACACTGAGTTTTCTGCTGAGGCACAGAAGCTGCATTTGTAGCACTTGTGTTGATGAAGGTGGCCTCAGTCTGTTTGATTCATCTCCCATGTACACAGAGTGCTCTTGTGCTCTTTGTAAGGTAGGGTCTTCTCTGCCTTTTCCAGTGCTCCACCCCAGTATGGGGTGTGGTAGAAGAGCACAGGATTTTCTCATTACAATGCTGTGACTAGGAAAATACTTCTTATGGCATTTGACTTCTCACACGTCATTTGATTCTAGAAGGCACTAGTGATGAGATGACTTTTTCCAACGTCAGCTATGTTCCCATGAATTATTCTGGCTTGTGCCCTCGTCACCCAGAGAGTGTTTCGCTTTGTTAGGCAGGAAATGGCTCCACAGATCAGCAGCAATCACAACAATTGCATCAGCCTTTCTCTGACGTCAGACAGGTGCTTTTTCTAACACTGTAGGAATTTATGATGTTTCTTTGTGATTGCAGATAAGAAATAAATAACATATTCTCAGCGAGCAAAGTTCTTTCTCATTTCTCAGAGGTGCTGTCAGTTTTTCAGCCTCAGTCTCTACCCAGTATGCCACTATAAGAACCATTTCCTTATGACCACCTGTAGTATCAACTGAGTTGCCAAATTTTGACACGTTGATGTAATTTGGGGAATTATGAAGGCCATAATTTTCCAAGACAATCATCGTGTTTATGAACCCTGCTGATTCAAAATGTGGTTAATTCAGCTTCTTCTTCTTGGAATACTCTAAAGGTCAAATCGGAACATAAATCTCTTGCACTGCATTTCTAAGGCCTCAACTTCTTCAGGCAGGGACCTGAAATGCCAAATTTATTCAAGTGTGTTGCAAAAAAGTATTGATTCAGGGTAGGAATTTCATTTATAACTAAAGCTGCCATTTGCATTGTCAACAGACAGGTTTGTCTTATGCTAACACATATGGAATTCACATTTTGAAAAATGTAGAGGTGTTTTGTTTATAATAAAATCTCTGCGTTTCTGAGTTATGATTAACATAAGACAATGGCCTACTTTGTTCTTTGAAAATTCATGTTGTCAGTCATGATGTTATCTTTGCACAGAGAATGATGATAACATGTCTTTCTTCCCTACTTAGTTTGTCAGTTAAGAAATTTAGTGCATTTTGGCACTGACCATTTAACAGCAAAACTGAAATTATATTTTTCCAGGGTGGAGTACGCAGGAGTACAGTATGAATTCATCCTTTGATCTTTCCTTCTTTCTCCAAAAGTAGCCAGTGATTCAAAGAATTGTTGGTCTCCGAGACAAGGATTGTATTTATAACTGTATGTTGAATACCACTTAAAGGACATATAAAGAATACTCTTTTACTTTTTTTTTTTAAGATACTTGTCGTGTATATCCAGTCTGATGTATAAATCTATCTACATCACTTTGACCTTGTTCCAACACAGTGAACAAATTTGGCTTCTTAATCAGGCAGCTCAAACAATAATAGTCTACCTCAAAATCAGGCCTCTGATGCACTTGAAAGATTTGTGTAGTTCTTGTCCAATCCAGGTAATGCATTTTGAATTCTGTAAGATTACATTGCACAGTCATTTCATCATAGTTACCATGAATGGAACACATTACTGTACCTTCTATTAAATTCAGTCAATGTGAGGTACCAGATAACTTTTATTATTGTTGTTGTTGTTGTCATATGCTGACATAGTCATAGGCATCGACCAAGCTGTTGGGAAGGAGACCACAAGTGCAGCTAATAAGTTTAGCTGTCACTGACAGGTCAAACAGAGATTCTTTTTAGATTCAGTTACCTTATCAGAAGGGCTAGGATCTGGGACCAGATCCAAAGATTTTCTCTGCTGAGTATTTTTTAGGACAGAAGTTTGAAGAGTATTTTTGAAAAGTAAATGTGCGCCAGTTAATTTGTTTGCATAACTACTTAACTCGGTTGTGATTTTTTTATATTTATATGTATATATAATTTATATTTTTTTCAGATTTAGGATTAGCATAAAGAAATGCTTGCCAAATCAGTACATCCATAGGTAGAAGATTATCTTTCTTCTCCTTTGCGTACCAAATTTGATAATTCAATCATTTTTTTTTCAGGGGCAGTCTGTTTACTTGTGGGGTTTGGCTGCTCTCAAGTTTGCAACACTTATTTCATAATTTCAACCAAAGCATCTGCTCTGTGAGTAAATGGCATTGACATCACTCACTTGCCATGTCATGAAGTTGCTACCAAGCTTTCTTCACTGCAACACAGTATATAAGTGGTGATGAAGCTCTTACCTAGTGACGACTTTTCTGCTTCGTGAGCTCTGTCAGTAAAAGTGAGCAAAGTTGTATTCAGAAGCTTTCATTTCTATTTCTTTTTGCTTCTCTTTCTCTCATTTACTCAGGCTTGCCTAGAGAATGTTGAGGCTAAGTAGGATAACACGAGCACCTTTGACGGTGCTGTAGTATTTCTTTATAGATTGTCTTTGAGATACAGTTAAACAAAAAGCGATCATTGTCTTGGAATGAGCATGCTGCTTCAAACAAGCCAGCCAGCACTCCCTTGTGAGGGTGTCAAAGGACAGGATGTATGGGCAGACAGCTTTCATGCGTGAAGAAATCAAGGCTGTCACAGAGTTACAGGGGCAGAAAATCAAGAGAAAGGGAGGCAGAGGCAGTCATCGCTTCCTGTAATGCTGACACTTGTCAGACAAATGGTGATTTCTCTAACATTCCCAGAGAGGCTGCAGGTCACGGCCCTGTTGTGGAACTTCAGCTAGCGTCAAGTGGTTGGAGAGAGTTCAGGGAACCTCACTGTCAGTCATCTGTCCCCATGTGCTGCTCTTGCTATGGCTCTGTAGAGTGGCAGTGTGGTAGGGATCTTTGAGACTCAATTGGCATTTCTCCAGGATTAAATGGGAAAAGATGAGATCAGGAGAATGAGCTCCATGGACTGAAGCACAAAAGAAACAGATCTTACATTTCTGTGGTACCTCTTGCCACTTCTCCAGAATTTAGACAGGAGTCAGTGGAGATCGGTGATCAGCATTTCTAGTTTCATTTATAGTTTATCTTGTATGTTCACTTTCCTTGGCCACTGTACAGCATCCATAAAGCACTGTTTACCATGCTGCCCTTTCATAGGCTTGTAGTAGAGTCTGGAAGGCATTTATATTCTGGTGATAAAAGGATCTTTGTTAAAAATCATACTCTGTGTATTGTTCTCTTAATGTTTTAGAGTTTTGGCAAATAATTTCTATAGGTAACCAACCAGAGGTGGCAGCTTACAAATGGATCGAGAGCTGTTTGAAACAACTGATACTGTGAGGAAGCCTAAATTAGATGAGATGAATTAGGCTGGATTAAGATCAAAGCGCAGATAGGCCATAAATATATGTAAGATGATGACTGACTAGGGAAGGAAATTTCTAATGAAGAATTTATCACGTAAGTTTTGCCAGTTTATCAGTGCAGATGGCTTGCAGAATTCTGCAGTGTATTTGTCATTGTGAAGATCAAACAGAATTCACTGGTCAAATCATCTTCAGCGTACAGACTGCAAAATTCAGGAGTGCATGATTTAGACTGTCTAATTAAATGAATTGGTTGATAGTGGTGCTGCTGCAGAGGTAGATAGTTTCTGTAATTAGCCTAAGTGTGGAAATTAAGATGATTCCTTGGAATACAGTTTTGGATATAGTTAATACAAAAAAAGTATGGTGGTAAAAGAATAAATTTCAGTTACCATGACTTCTTTCAGGCCATGTATAGTACCAAAAAGCAGTAACTTTAGCATTAACTTAGTTATACATATTTTTCAAGCAACACTCAGCACTTTCTGCAGACAATTCACTTCCTTAATAGTCTTCTGCATAATAAAAATCTGAGCACCGTCTAGAACAAAGAACTGACAAGTTTCTGAGCTTATTTTTGAAAAAGAGGTTTTCTTCTGTCACAGAACTGGTTAGCCAAAAATTCAGTTTTGTGCTTGTTCTAATTAATGTGTAAAGTGACTAAGGACCATTTTTCCAGACACTGTACAAAATGTTGTTACCTGAATCACTGCAAATTAAAACAAGAGTCAGCATCTCTGCTTGTATTTCTGCTGTCTTTCTTATCAAGTCCTAACAAGGTTGCTCTTAGCTTTCCTCAGGAATATGTTCCGATATACGTATGTATTTATTATTTTATCTTTTTTATTATTATTTTATCTATTTTTTTAAAACTTTTTTTCTTTTTAATCTTATTTTAATCACTGCTGTTCTGATGTTCCTTTGTTCTGCCATTTCTCTCCCTCCTTTTGTCTCGTGGTCTTCCTAGACAAAGCTTTTTGTGAAGTGATAACTTGAAAACTCCTATTTCCAATCTGCTTTTTACATATCTTTGTTGGACTATAGGCCTGATTTCATGGTCAATTGTTTGAGCTACCTGAGTAGAAGAAGACAATTGGTTTGCTCTTAACTGAGGAGTAAGAGCTAGGCTTAACTCATAAGAAGCAGAGCATCTACGACTGCATGTGTGAATGACTTCTAACAAATTTGGTTGTATCTCTGTAATAATTTAAGCCCAGAGCATGAGTGGGGAAGGGTGCACAGTTAAAGGAAGATAAAAGTTATGATTTTTGATCTGCTGCTGCACAAGCTCGATAAATGTTTCACTGTAGGCACTGACTTATCATTCTCAAATGACAATTTTTTCTGTCAACTTCCAGGTCTCTTGGAATTCAGAAGGATGAAAAGATGAAATCCTCATAATTGGGTTGGATTTAGAAATGGAAGACAAGGTAATGCAACCTGTGCACACCAGCCCTCCACCACAAGCTGCAGTAATGGAATTGGCTCCAGTGAAATGTGAACCGCAACATGCTTGTTCCTTTAACGCCCTCTCTAACAACATCAAACAGGGGAGAGAAAAAAAAAAGTGAGTATAAGCAGCTTTATGCAGTTTGATTAAGGTCTCAAAATTTCCTGACGATAAGTGAAATTAGGCATGAATTGTGAAAGACCTATTACATACTGATTTAAAGGCCATGTGAAAGGCTTTACCCAGAGGCAGTGAGGCAGTGCCACTATTTGAGATTTGAGCACTGAAAATGATGAGGTGCATTTTTTTGTCAGCTAATTTTTACTCTTTTGGAAGTTAGTCCTCTTTTCCAAAACCCATGTTTTTCTGCTATTTTTACTTGTAAACACTTAAAGAAAAAGTGCAGTACTGTTCAGCAACCACTTTTGACATGTATTCTGCATTTAGATATTAAACAAAAAAAGTAATTTTATAACTTGCTGACTCTCTTTTTACTTGTTTGTTCTGCTAAGTCAACTCTAAGGTTTTTTCAAATGCTGGCATCTTAAAATTGTTCTTAAAATGGAATTTATTTTATAATCAGACTTAAGGTGTTTAGGAGACCAGAGTGACTCATTTATTTAGACAGTAATTCCACCAGTAATCCAGCATTTCTCCAGATTTTTCTTTTACTGAGATACAAAATGGCTATTAAAATGAAGAATGAGAGGTCTTGGAACAGGCCAAGGAAGATGACTCATTCCTGAAAAAAGTGGTTGATAGGTTGATAGCCTATGCTGTTATTTCAACTACTGAGATGTTTAGGAGGGAAAAATCTACTTATTGTGTCAAAAGTCAAGACAAAGAACTAGTCATTTTTTGAAACATCTTAAAAACCAACCACCTCCACCACCAACAAAAAACATTTAAATCTGTACATCTGTGTAAATGCAGGGAAAGGTGATATCTGCGGCAGGGGACAGCATTGTGTTTTGTTTTGGTTTGTGTTTTTTTTTTATTTTCTTGGAAATTACATCTCTGAAAAAATGAATGCTCTGCAGTAGTGCGAGATTCATTTTGTTCCAGGTAAAGACAAACTGCCAACAAACTCTGTTTTCTGACCCACCATCTTTCTCTTGACCAACAATTTGTGAAGATTTTTGTACAATGGGAGGAGAGCTGCTCATTTGTGACTTTGCTGCACCTTAATGCTTTAGCTAAAGTTACAAATGAATGTAAGTTTTCTGCTCCCTCTCATCTCCTTTGTAAGTTTTCCATCTTTTGGAGCTATTTCCTTTTCATACATACATGTAATATATACATGTGTGTATATATGTATATATATATATATATATATATACTTTTTCTGAGCTGATGGTTTTTGTTCTTTCTTCCTTCTGTGCTTCTCAAACTTCTCATTCCGTTTATTTCCTTTACTGTTTATTCATCTGAACTGTTTTCTCCCTTTCTGATCCCTTTCAGTAAATCTTAGTTATCTGCAAATCAAAATCAAGTGCAAATATGCATGCATCCACAGAGCAGCTGTTGTAAAGAGACATAATTTCACTTGATGGAATTGATAGAAACCCTGCCAACCACCCAAGCTAAAACAAGGTCTGAGATGGTGGTCAGATGTACTTTTCACCAGAGCAAAAAGAAAGTGTTCTGCCATTTGGCTTATTAATGTACTATTCTTTACTAATTTAAAACTGCTGAATATATTTTTGGTCCCTCTGTGAGGGCTACACCAACAAAATCGATGTTTCATAGCAATGTAGGCCCCATGTGCCAAGCACATGACCAGCTTTTACCTCCCTGTATTCTTCTAGTCTTTTCCCCCAAATCTAATAATACTTGGCATGACATCAATACTAGCATAGGGTTAATAAAAACCAAGGATAGTATTTTTAGGAAAGCATTGAACATGGAATGTTCTCTTTTATGAAAGGCAGGAGAGTTTTATGAAGTTTCTTCTGACAGGAGAAAAACAGTGCTGGCTTTCTTAGATTGATGAAGCTGATTCTATGAGACATCCCTTGAAGGCTTCTCTCTTTGGGAAGGAAAAGGTTGGTAGGCTGTGTAGTGAAAGAGTTATGGGCCTTATTAATTATAATACCTTGATGGAGTACCTCTGTTTCACAGATCACAGAATTTCTAGGTTGGAAGAGACCTCAAGATCATCGAGTCCAACCTCTAACCTAACACTAACAGTCCCCACTAAACCATATCCCTAAGCTCTACATCTAAACGTCTTTTGAAGACTTCCAGGGATGGTGACTCCACCACCTCCCTGGGCAGCCTGTTCCAGTGCCTAACAACCCTTTCAGTAAAGAAGTTCTTCCTAACATCTAACCTAAAACTCCCCTGGCGCAACTTTAGCCCATTCCCCCTCGTCCTGTCACCAGGCACGTGGGAGAACAGACCAACCCCCACCTCTCTACAGCCTCCTTTAAGGTATCTGTAGAGAGCGATAAGTTCGCCCCTGAGCCTCCTCTTCTCCAGGCTGAACAAGCCCAGCTCCTTCAGCCGCTCCTCGTAGGACTTGTTCTCCAGGCCCCTCACCAGCTTCGTCGCCCTTCTTTGGACCCGCTCAAGCACCTCGATGTCCTTCTTGTAGCGAGGGGCCCAAAACTGAACACAGTACTCGAGGTGCGGCCTCACCAGAGCCGAGTACAGGGGGACGATCACCTCCCTAGCCCTGCTGGTCACACTGTTTATCACAGCTGTAGAGCTAGCAACAGTCTAATTTGAATGTTTCATACAGGCAAGTTTGCAAGATAGTTTTGTTGTCATTTTAAATGCAAATATAAAATATTTAACACAAATTTATAAGTTTCCTGGCAATTGACCCTGTAAGTATATTCTTCCTAAAAACTGCAAAACTGGGAGGCCAAAAAGTTTTATGCATTTTGATGTATGTGCAAATAATCTAAAAGTTTATGTTTAAATAAGAAAATAGATTTAAGTATATATTTGGAACACAGTTTACAGAATAAAATTCTCCTGTTATTTTTAAAGTAAAGTCGTATTAAATCCTCAACATAGATTCCTTAGATTACACTTCATTAAAAACTACAGAAAATACTTTCCTTAAATCTAACTGCTTCCTACTCTGGCCTTTTCTTAATCCTGATATAAGGAATGGGTGAAGAAGTTGTAATGGTAAACAAGTGTTGAGCCTTGGTATTGTGCATAGTATCAGTTTCTGAGCTCTTGCTCTCATCTCTCTCCTAGAGATGATGAAAGCAAAAGACATTTTCTGAGGATTCATGGCAGCTGCTCTGTATCATCAGCTTCAGCAGTCAGTCATCAGGTCCTGTGATACGCACTGTGCCGAGATTGCTAATGCTATAGCTGAGCATAAGCAATATGGGTTTGTTTCCCTACAGTATGCAGGAGGGTTGTATGTGTGCTGCACATTAACGATAATGGTGTAGGGGGCTTTTTATTTTTATTTTTTTTTATTTTTTCAGCAATGTTATGTCACGGCTCAATAGTCTGGAGATGGTTGCATTGCAGATTGGCCCTCTCAAAAACCTTCCTGTCCTGACAGACATTTCCAGGAGAAAATAAGTAGAGAATATCTGAGGAATGATGAAAGTCTTTGCCAAACAACCACACACCACAATGTGTTTACCTACGCATTTAAGTGTGCTTCACGTGTGTTGAAGAGGAAGCTGTAAGTTTTGTATGTACATGGGATTGGCTTTCCAGTGCAAACGCTGACCTCAGAGATGTCAGTGCTTGTGACTGGAAACAAGTGTATGGGTGGTCCCATTACGTGTAGGTTTTAGCTCTGTGAAGGGCCATACAGCAGTTTGTCAGTAACTTCATGCTTGAGCTTTTGACTGCAGTTGTAGGCTGATAGGAAATTTGCTAGTTGATCATTAATTTGTTCTTGAATTTAAGTGGTTTTTTTTGTGTGTGTATGTTGTTTTTTAATCTAGCCTGAAGTCAGAGTTTCCCTTTGTTTCCGGTCGTTTGTTTCTAAGCTGATGAGTCTTTGTTAATTTGGAGCACTACATTTAAAAAAAAAAAAAAAAGGAGGCTGTCATGAGATAAAGGCTCAGTAAAAATATCTAGCAGAAATATAATGATCACACTGAAAAGCATTTTTTGTTGGCAGCAAAAGTGTCATCCACTGGGATGTTTCTGAAGATAAGTACAATATTTTCTAATGAAGTAATCACCAAGAAGCATGCGAATGATACTTTCACAAGTCTTTTTCTAGCCTATATATAATAATATAGTATCAGCTAAATCGATTTATATATAGATATGTTTCAGCTGGTAAATAAGTTTAAACTTCAGCTTACAGCTAAGGTGATTTCAGAAATCTATTTTTAGTCCATGTTGTTTTCACAACACTGCTGAATGCCTTGCACTTTTTCATCAAAGGCACAATTATTTACCAACCATAACTACTTAAAACATCTTAAAACTGACTCCAGGCTGACAGGTGTTAGACAGCCATAACCTCTCTATTTTTTTACTGAAATTACATGTAACGAATAATCTAGAATAGCTTCCAGTTACCAGGAGAATCCTGTGCTGGACTTTGCCCTCAGGCCTTTCAAGTGCGTAGGCAACTCCTGTAGAGATGTTAGTCTAAGAATTTGTAATGTTGAAGCAAATCAGAATTGTGAGGTGATTTTGATTACATGCCAGCTGGGCACTAGTAGAGAATGAAATCCTTTAATCCAACATTTCCGATGCTTGCTACGTTGAGTGCTTGAGTTGGTTGGTTGATCTTGATTGTGACCCTTCTGTAACAAAAGTGCATAATTACAGACTGGAAGAATAATGTTAACTAACGTTAATTTTAACAACAGCAAAAAAAGATGCTGAATTCAGCTTGTGCTCATGTTTGATGTTTATAGTTGCGTGCTAGCATTGTTAAAGAGAGTCAGTAATGTAAGACTGCAACATCACCCACCAAAGGGCTCCGAAGAATTATTTTCCCAGCTTAATCCTGCTCCTGACAGAAGTAATCTTTGAAAAAGTGATCTTTGAGAGCTAAGAGGTAGCTCAGTTAGGGAGCTAGGTGTGCTAAGGCAGAGGCTGTGACCCCTGAGCTAGACCCCATCACGTGGAAGATGTGTGCCAGTTGCCTATGGAAGTTCTGGGAGAATTGAGGCATTGTGGTTCATGTGATGCACCTCTTACTCTCATATCCACAGGTGGAAAAGGAGATTGGTTTTGTCCTGAGGTAAATATAAATGTATTTAAGCTATGATCTAGGGGAATTTTAGTTGCGTATTGCTAACTGTATGTAAGAAATATTCAGGACACTTTTTCTTTTACACAGCAGGGAATATGTTAAAGAGTCAGCCATTTCGACTGAACTGGGCTTGGATTTCGCTGGAGAGGGAGTACTACGTCATGGATGAGAACTAGAAATTTCTGGAAGTGACCATAAGATGCAGAGGATATCTGGGAGAAACCTCTTTTATCAGTAAGTAAATCTTTAATGTTTGAAATTTCTTGCAACAGGAAAGGCTAAGGAGCTGTTCCACAGTTGCTTGTTCCTCTGTTTATATATAATAAATGCAAAATAATGAGAATAACAATGGTATAGATAGTTATTGCTCAGATGTGTCTGTGTTTCATTTTCCAATGAAATCTAAGTGAGTATATATCAGTAGAAATAAGAACAAACCAGTAAATAAGCTTCTACTGTTTATCCAGTGTTCTTGCTGCTATTTATCCAGTGCTTTTTTCCTGAAGTCAGTTGTGAAACAATAGAAATCAGGATGCTCTATCTCCTGATCTGTGCCCATTCAGTCCTGAAAAATGACACGTTTTATTTTGGCAGGAAGATACATTTCATATTAACTTCGGTTGATAAATAAGTTATTTGTTAGATATCTTGAAGTAGCTGGTCTCTGCTTGCAGAACCAACTTATGAAGTGAGTTACAACTCCACATTTTACAAGGGCAGTGTTATGCTGACCTTTGAGTGACAAGAAAATCTGAAAGCTGCTAGATATTCTCAAAGGGTTATCTGCTAAGAGGCATGTCAGGTGTGAAGCACACAAACTATGAGTGTGCTGTCATGGGATAGGAGAGTACCCACTTGTGACAGCTCTGCAGAGTAAAATAGAAATCAGAGAAATCTTCTTTGCATCGAGGAATTTGAGAAGCACTGAGCAGAAAGGTTTTTTTTTCTCCTTATTTAAAAACAAGTTAACAAAAAAAAGGGGTTAAGGTTTTAAGTGTTTTATCATTTACACCCAAACTTCACAATATTTGCTTTGCTCAACACAAATATATCAGCATATTATCTTCATATTAAATCAGACATTTAAAGCCTAAGTAGTTTTATACTAGAGAAACTGCAAGTTCTATATTAGGAATGATTTCATACTCCACTGCCTTCAGAAGCTCTTCACGAGCCATCAGATTCTCCCCCAATCATGTAGGCTGTTGACTTGAGAGGGATTAATTATTCTCAGCTGGGGAGGTAAATAAAGTGTGTCATAATTGCTGCTGTTGAACCTCAATAAAAAAATGCTCATATATGTGAACTAACGCTGGATTGAAACCCAAAGGTGGTAATGAATTTCAAAACCCCATGGTGAGTTACAGATCTCTGCTTCATTACATCCACAGTTGGATTCTGCCAGTATGTGTGCACCTTTGATTAAAACAAACAAGAAGCCTAGCTATAAAGCTATGCAGGATTAAAATTTTGTAAAAACAGTTCACATTAAAAAAAAAAAATCTTCTACCGATTCCTTTCCATGACATTTTTTGTACATATTGTACAGCTTCACTTAAAAAAAAAACAAAAAACATATTGAGTGTTTTTACTGCATTAAGTAACAAAAGCAGAATGAAACTTTGCATCAGTTGTAGCATCCTGCTTGCAAGTTCACAATAAAGCATGTTCCAGTTTCTGAGTATTATGTTTTTGTTTTTGCTCTACAAAACCTTAATGCTTTAACATTATTTTATGAACTCATGCTACAACAAAAGCCTTCTGATCTGAATAGCAAGAAGAGCCTACTTTGAGTTAAATCATCATCTGCTGCTTTACTTTGAACTGAATGGGTTCATCTCTGGCTCTGGAATCTCTGTGACACAAACCTCTCTGATTTTTGTCAAGGTGAGAACGCGCAGTCTTGTAAACCTGGACAGTGAAAAGATTCTGCTTGGATAATATCCCAGTAGAGATGGTAGAAATCTGACATGTTACTGCATTTTAGAATTAAATGAGGAAGAAAAAGTGGGGGTGGGAGAGAAAAAGCAAATTTGCATAGCATAGTGTACACAGTAAACCCTGAGAACATTATTCTGTCTCACTGAGCTGCAATTCTATGTCAAATGTCCAGTTATTTACTAATCTAGCTAAGAGAGCACCCAAGCAAAATTTGGACAGATGAGACAAGTCTTAAGGGTTTATTTAGTGCAAAGGTAGCAGTGATGAAAGAACTTCACAAACATTAAGTGTGTACGAGTATGGCACAGACACAGAGTGGTAACAGAAACTTTCAGCACAAAGTAGTAAATATAATGGTGTGACGTTTGTTTGTTTGTTTGTTTTTAAATGTACATGACTAAGTTACACTTTCAGTGAAGCCTTGAACATCCTGAGTGACATGAATAATTGTCTTAAAAGGCTGTTACAGCTTTTCTGAAGGCATAACTGGAAAACTCAATCCACATATTTTTATACAAATGGGAAAATTGGCTCTGCTGAATAGTTCTCTTAAGTTATATTTGATAAATATCCTCATGTGTTAACTTTTTTTATGTTTGTATAGTTTTCAAGTGCTTAGCAGGTGAAGTCAATGGAATTATTAAAGTAAATACAATTCCTTATGCACACATTAGCAGGACCCTACCCTAATTTATTTATTTTTAATGAACTATGCAACAGTGTTAGTGAAAAGTGTTGTGTAACTGTCTTATTATTTTTTTCAAGGTCACTAACTTCCAAATGAGCATTAAAAAATTGGTTGTTGTTGTTGTTTTAATTTTATTAAAATATGTGGAGAGTAATTCCTCTGAATTTTTACTCAGCTGTTGGAACCAAAGATGGTACAGCAGTTAGGGTAAAGACTTCAAGGGGAAACCTCAGAAACAGGTCCAGTTCAATCCAGGACAGGCTTCTGCTACCTGGTGAGTGAGGGTATTTGTAGACAACGAATATGAAGCATCTGAAACATTCCAGATTGTTTTGTCTGACCCAGTTATGGCTCCCTTTGAGATTCCAGCATTAATAATAGTTGAAATTGTGGATCCTGGTGATGGTATGTATCACTTCTTGTTCCATGAAAAATTGTGATTAGGTGCAGTACTGATCACTTGCAAGCCCCATAAGTACCTCATCTTTCTTTGTTCTGTTGTTCCATCCTGTCTTAAAGCTTCAACTAGCTGCACAAGGAATTTGTATTCTTTATTGAAGCACTTCTCTGGCTACCTGCTTACTCTGTATGTAATGTCATGCAGGTGTTCAGCCTGTATCCCCCCTTTTCTCATCTTGTTTTTCTTCTCAGTATCTACTGCATATATTCCTCAAGTGGCATGCAGAGTAGAGGTGGACTGCTAATTCCTCTTAGAAGATCTGGTGATGTCATTCAACAATTGATGGTCATTTGTTCTGCACTCCAAGGTATGTTATCTAGCTGGGAAACATCCACCTGTTAGCAGGTATTTCCAGTAATTTCAGTAGTTGAAACAAGTGATTTTGCAGGCAACTTGCATGTTGTTTTAGTTTGTGTAGTTCTCTGCCTAAAGAATATTTTGAAGACCAAAATGTAAGTGCCTGTGTGCATGTGTACACACATGCATGTATGTTTATTTTTGGAAGAGACACCATTTTATTGCCTGCAGCTTTTTCTTGCAGAAGAGAAAGTGCCTGTCCCGGCAGTGATTGTTTAGAGGAGAAAAAAATGGCTATTTAGAGGATATGATCATTAGGTATGCTTCATGGGCAAGGATGATGGGAAAGCATCCTTAGGTCTGTGACTTGCTTAAACTTCTAGTTGAAAAAAATCCTTCTGATGTCTTTTATTTCTATTTTGCCTTTACCTATAAGAGTCAGCCTGAGTGGATGGCAGGAATCCTCAGAGAGTTAGGGATTCTGTCATTTGTTCCTTCATCAGTGACTTAAAAGAGCTCAGCCTCATTTTCCCCTTTTTTGTTGTGCATCGGGGCACAGAAACTCTTACCAAGTTAGCGAAAACTTTTTGTCCTTATATCCCTTTTGACCTAAGTTTATATTGTGTATTAGACTTATACTTTTTGAACATGTATTTCAAACAAATGCAGCATAAGTAAGGTGGAGTGATATATTTATTTATTTATTCCTTGTAGGAATTGCACAATGAGGTAAAAGTGAAGTTCAAATTCGCATTTGTTAGTGCAGGATAAGCTCATCCCAGAAACTTTCCTGCATTCCGGTCCATGAAAGGATGGCGCATAGAAATTAAAAGGAAAAGTCGTTCTTGCATCTTTCCTTCTTCCTGCACAAAATTGCCTTACATTGTGACTGTTGAACTGCTGGTGGGGCTGTACTCTAAATGATTTAGATCAAAGCATATTTTTGGGAGCTTTTTTTTTTTTTTTTTAGTTATTTTACTCATTTCACTAACATGATTGAAGTAAAGCCCTACAGAAAAGATGAGTCAGGATAACTGGAGAGAATAGGAAATCAGGAGCAGGACAGGTTCCATGGGGGTGCCAGATGATGGTAAGAATCTGCTAAGTCACTTTCCTACTGGAAAAAATGTAACCATAAATGAATAGGAAGAATTGCTTGTGTTTAACTTATTAATGCGTATCTGTTACTCAGTTCCAGCATAAAACGTTCTTTTCAATTTGTTTAATTTAAAGGACTGTTTTTCTTCTGCTTCTTTAATGTCATGACTCCCTGTAAGACATTTAATTTCTCTCCTCATAGGTTCAGCTGCTGGTACTGTACCATCTACTGTCTTGTCTTTTTCTGACTACATCTCACATCCTGGAGGTCATTCCAGTGTTGTTTATTTTAATAAGAATGAGACTGAGAAAAGCTGTCATATTATCATTATTGATGACTCCCTTTATGAGGAAGATGAGACCTTCAATATTTCCTGAGCATGCCACGAGGAGGCCAAGTTGGCACTGAATTCCTGAGCACTGAAGTAATTAATAATCTTGGTTGACATAGATGATGGTGAGTACAAAGAAACATGTTTGTTTTGCGGGGACTTTTCCTCTTTAGAACTTTTACTGATAAATATTCTCTTTGTGATTTTGTTTTTTAAACATCTGAAACTTTGGGTCTAAGATTCATTTACTCCTTATAACAACTGGCAGGGCAGGCATGAACTATTTTTAAGATACAGTGTAAATATAAATCATTCATTTTGGCTTTCACTGTTTTGTTGCTTCAGAAGGGGTTGAGGATTAGATTTTATTCTCATTACAGGTATAGAAGTAGCTTCATTACCCTGAAGTAGATCTGCAAGGACTACATTTACATTACTGCAGCACAGCCTGTGATTGCAGTAGTTTCCACAGGTATACTATTAATTTTGTGACAATAATATAGATGAAATAATTTGGAAACCATCAGTTAAAGCAGAAAAGTAGAGTTACGAGAGGCTAATTTGACATGCACATTGATTCTCAGTATGTCAAGATTAAAGTTCTTCTAAGTGCAGTATGCTAATAGTCAAAGTATACACACAAAACTTGAATTAATTGCTAGACTCAGCAAAGGAATAAGGCAATAGTAAGCCTGAAAGTGCCTCTTTCCAACTGAAAAGAGCTGAGCACAGTTCTGATACAGGATGTGACACGACAGTATTTGCACAGTCCTTGGTCAAATTAGTCTTGATGAAGTGTACTGTGATGCCTCTAACAACAAGGAGAGGAGAAAAAGAAAGAAATGGAGAGACAAAGTTTTTACTTGCATTAAGCTTTGCAGCAAGAAGGAAAGCCATTTAGTGTCATCAAAGAAAGCAGTCTGGTATGTTGTCGGATTTTCTGATGGTGCAATTTCAATATTTGCACAGAGTGGTTCACAACTCATGCATATTTCAGAAAATCCATGCAGTCAGTAAAAATAATGTACACTAAGGTGAGATAAATACAGATATTTAACTTTTACGTTATTTTAGTTACTATTCCCATTCTGAAAGTCAGATACCAGAGCAGAGTTGGGAATGGAAATATTTTTGTCTTGCTAGCTGTTCTGTTGAGATGTCTTCACGAGAGTTTCATAAAGCTGGTGAGATCAGTGGTATCCACAGTGCTGTGTGTGTGTGAGGATGGAGGGGAATGTAGTTTTCTAGTTTTACTGCTTAAGGGTTGTTTTTTGTTTTTGTTTTCATGTATTCGTCTATCCCTCTGAGAAGGGCCCTATATTACTACATTTTTAAAGAAATGGTTCTGCATAATGTCCTAATACTGGAAAATAAAGCATGTGATACGGTGACTTTTTTTTTCTGGGAAACACATGAAAAAATTCAGCGTTGTCTGTACGTGGACCTGTTTTTCACCTCTCAAATTACAGTCATAGAAGAATTATGCCCATTTTACATCAGAAGGATTCACATTTCCACCACCTCTATTAGAGTCTGATGTGATTTGTGCATAAGGAGGAAGGCATCGATCGAAATGTATGATTGAGTATGGTTTGGGAAACATATGCCCAGGGATTACTTAAAATGAACAGACTTTATATAGAAAAGAGTCCTAAGATTGTGTTGTCGCTGTCATAAGCAAATGCCTGCCACAGACTGCCTCAAGTGATAGCTCCTCATTGAGTCATATTATGTAAAAAACAGAAATAACTCATTATTAGGTCTCAAGAGGCACCAGTTTCATAAAACTTGGGGGATGAAAAGGTTTAAAGCTCAAATATCTCTGAAACTAATTTTTACGCTCATTTGCATAGCACCACAGTGACATAAATGAAGGAAAGTATTCAAGAATTAGATGGAAAAAAGTTATAGCTGCTGGATGTCGAGGAACTCAGTTGCATTGATGAGAGTTTCTCTGTTCAGCCCTGAAAATTGATGATACGCTGGCAAGAGACAGATAAGTCTTCAGAGATACTCAGGTTAATCAAGCTGAAGGCAAAATTTTCTTTTTAAATATGTATGTGATAGATGATCAGATTTGCTGCCAAAATAACAAAGAATTGTAGTAACTGCAGCAATGTATCATTTGAAGTTAATTAACGAGTGGGTATATGGAAATGGAATTTAACTACAGTTACTGAAGAGCAGAGAAGTGGTTAACAAAATAGACACGGTAAATGATTCACTCAGTATTCAGGTGAAGAAATTAGATTGGTCCTATGGGATTTTCTTTGTGTGTAAGGTAGTGAACTAATGTTGCATTTCTAACTGTATATTTATAATTAAAAATCATTTTTGTAAAAGCCTAGTTACAAGATTATGAAAAAATATCCTCTTCGCTAGATCTTTTCCTGATTTCATGTATTTATAGAGTTTTGTGGACACACAAAAAAATCTTAATATGGTTGTATGTGAAATAACTATGCGCATGGTATTTGATTAAGAAAAGAACAAAACCTGTACAAGAATTGTTGTTCTTCACAATGCGCAGAGCTGCATTATGGTAGGTGGCTTGTATGCAAGTAAGCCTCTCATCAGAAAGTTAATTTCTTTTCCACTCTCATTTCTTTGCTTTTGCATGCTGATTTTATACCATGCCAGATGTTTTATCATGCCACCATGCCAATTACTAGTAGTAATTTGGCAAATGACAGTTTACTCTTTTTTTCTTTCAGGAATATCAGTGTTCTGTTCTGTCATCAGTATCTGCTGACCATCCTAGCCTTGCATTTACACCGTTAGGAAGCGAGCCGACCTTCCATCAGCCTGTGCAGCAGTGGAGTTTTATCTCTGATTTTGCTGTGAGTTTCCACTCTAACTTCAATCTAGAGAAGCAAGGGGAATTGTCATTTTTTTTAAACATATTTTCCACACAGTCATCAGCAGTATAAGATCAGTAAGCATCAACTCATTGGGATGCAGTCAGATGCTTTCATTGCATAAGGAACAGTCAGAAGTCCCTGGTGTCCCTGGATCTCAAGTCTGGAGGCCTGAATCGTAGTGAGCACCTTCCATTGAGTAGGCCAGTGCTAGAGCCGTGGGCAGTCTTGAAGAATTTGCCTTAATGTTTTCACCCTCAGTGTTGTCCTGACTGTGATCCTGCAGCTCCTGCTGCAATTGTGTCTGACATGGACATCGGGTTCCAACAGGTACAGCCTTTTACTTAGGACTTACGATTTTTTTCTTGAGGCCTAATGGGCAAAACTGGCCAAAAGCAAATGAAGGGTGGGTGGCAGGTGTTCTGTAACTGCTGAAACAGGTGATCTGGTATAGGTCATCCAGCAGCAGTTGTCAGGAGAAAGTCAAGTGTTTTCAGATGGAGATTTTTACAGTGCTTTTAGGTTGCTGTAGATTTCATCATCTCTGGTGAGATAAAATTGAACTAAATGTTTTTTTATTTGTTTGTTTCTTTGTTTTTTGTTTGTTTTTTTCTTGTAATTAAAATCTTTTTCCATTTATTTACCTCATAGTCCAACCTATTCCTAAGTACTTTGCCTTTTTTTTTTTTTTCCAGCAAGGTGGGGGAATGGGCAGGGAGTAGTGTTGGTTTAGTTCTAAGCAAGATTGTTTTCAAAATTAACCTGTTCTGAGACTGATTTTTTTAAAAAACTGGGAATCAGTGTAATAGAATTGAATCAGTAGAGTTATTTCTCAAAGAAGTGGTAAAACACTTCATTAAGTGTGAGCCTGGTTTTCTGACAATTTTCCTGTTTATATTAAAGAAAAAATAAAGTGCACCAAGTAGCCCTAACTTACTGTTGTAAACTATTGGAGAGACTTTCAATGAATATACAAGACTTGTTAAAAATCTTTTAGAATAACATTGCATCCTTAAGCCAGTATATGAAAACGACTTTTTTTTTTTTTTCCCCAAAAGTACTGGATATTTCAAAGCCCATGTGTCAGAACTATTTAACCTTTTTGAACGTTAGAGCTGGTCTTTATCTTTCTGCTTCATTATCCAGTTTTGAATGCCTTGACAATTGTAGAGACAACTGTACTGTATACAAATTAAATGAATGTCTCAATCTGGTTCGCTCAAAACAATTGTGAGTGAACTGAAATGTTGTTATTTCAATTTAAAGATACCATTTAAGTAGTAGTCTTCATGTGGCTACCTTATAACACAGGAAATTAATGCTACACAGGAAAAGGATTTGGAGATGAAGGAAATAGCCATGGAGGCGGTAGCAGTTGCGTATTTGAAATAACTGCACGCTTCCCTGTGTACAATCACTTTATACTGAAATTCTTGATCATCACATTACTACTACAGCAATGGTGAATAATGATCATCATAATGCTACAGCTAAGGTGATTTTATTATTTGGTTCCTTTTCCCCACAGGTCAGTGACCCAGTGGCCGCAGAGTTCAATCTAAATACTCAGATGCTTCTGCTGTCTAAAAAGGAGCTTTGGATATCTGACGGGTCAAAGGGATGGAGCTGATGAAGCTTTTACAGAAGGTAATGAGTCACTTGCACATTCAGCATTTTATGAAAGCTAAGAGAAAGGCATTTAACAAGAGATGAATACATATTTTACTAGTTTCATATCTCTTTTAGCAACGTTTTTGTGTCTGAAACCCAATGAGAACCCAGTAAGTTTGTTAATAACTTTATTTTGCTTGATATATTGCTATCAGTGGGTAGCTTCTTATATGTGAATATGGGTTGCCCTCTAGTGAAGAGAAGGGAAAAGCTTACTCAGAAAAGATCTGCACTGTAAGAATCAGTATGAATTGTAACAAAAAAAGAGACTGAAGCCTATGATAAATTGGTAGTAGCAGTCATGGAGTGCATTGTCTTGAAGTGCAAAGGGAAATACTCTTAAACCTAGGTAATTTCTGTCCTGAGAACCACAGTCACAATGGCTTGGCAATAACTTGCTTTAATAATTTTAAATTGACTAGCAAAATGTGAAATGCATCAATCTGTTTTGCTAGGATGTGAAATCTGTGGCTGAGTGATGGTGGATCCTATTCAGAACCTCGGTGACTCCTTCAGCTGCACCATCGAGGTGTTCCTTGGCACTGGTGCCAATGGGTGCGTGCCCAAGCACAGCTCAGACAACCAAGAACATGGGTGTCTGGCTGACTCACCCTCACTCATGTACAGAGTGAAGATCCTGGTATGTAAATAGACGTGGTAGTGGGCATTTTTAGATCCTTGACTTCCAAGTGAACCTGTAAATACTAAATTTGCTTCCTTTAGGATAAAGCTCAACCTGAGACACAAACAAGAGCCTTTGGAAACCTGGAGTTTCGTGCTACATTAAGCAGCTGACCACACAGATTTTTTTCCTCTAGTAAAACGGCCTGGTTCTGATGGCTTCAGCGTGTCGTCTGCTCCACTCTTCCAGGTAAGTTGATGATTACATCACAGAAACATTCTTTCAAGCTAAAAATACTAAGGTGGAAAAGACAGCATACAGATAATCATGGGTGGGTGCTGTCAGTGAGCAAGACAGGGCAGACTTCAGTAACACATTTACTGTTTCCCTTCCATAATAGCACAGAAACAATGACACCAAGGCTTCATAACACTGGACCTCTTCTTTTGCTGCCTTGCTGTTACTGCAGGTGTTACTGTGAGCAGGTATTGGGGGTTAGAAAAAAATTAGAAATAAACTGAGTTTTCTTGCAATGGGAAAAAAAGAAATAATTAGTTTGTATATGATAGGAAATAAAACTGTGCACCATGCTTTTTGCAGATGAATTCAATTTTCTTAGTTTTTTTTTTGTTTTTTTTTTGGTCTCCTGAGGTTGGGTTTTTCTCACTGAAATTAAAACTAGTATGTGTTAGTGTTAACATGAAGAGACTATTGCAACTGCCTAAGAATAAATAGAGCCTATTAAAACATGCTTTACATGTCCTACTTCAGAAGGATACATTAAAATAGATTAATCTTATCACCAAAGGTGTATTTCAGTCATTGGCTTTAATAGACATATTTGCAGTGAACTTGGACCTCTAGCTGGATTAATCTGATGTCTGGCATCTTCTAGTTTACAGTAAATGTGCATGGGGGGTGGGGGAAGAGGTTCCGGGGTTTGTTTGTTTTTCTGAAGGTGGCAGGAGGCCGAAAATAGTACATTCACACTACTAACACAGTCTGATTAAAGGAAAACACATACAGGCACGACCGCAAAGGAAGTCTTGACTACCAACATGTGTTGTCCTCTGCTAGTGGAAGAGTTAGCACCACAACCTCTAAACGCAGCAGAAGAGCCAACCCAGATGCCCCGGTCTTGATGCAGGACATTGGAGCTGATAAGCATCCTTATATCCCTCAAGGAATCCTGGTGCTTAAAGAGATGCTGCTTTTAGTTACAAGTATATTATCCTAGCTTTCCAAAAGTGTTTTGCTTTTTTATTGTTAATTATTTGTGGGGAGGAAGGTGGTAGCAGTAGAATGGACGCTAAGTAGCAGAGTGTTCTTCACAGTGAATGGGTTTGTCTCACTTTAATAAGAACTTTGGACCTGTGGACAGCAGTGGAAGACTCAACACAGGTAAGGCTGCAAGTGCAGCTCTGTCGTTATTACCTATGAGGAGAATGTTTATGTAGGAGCAACAAATGTTAGAACTATATTGTAAAGCCACATTAAATGTTTTCAAACATGCTTAAACAGATTCTAGCATTTCAAAACAGTACTGACAGCTTTCCCATATTGGACAGTAATTGCTTTTCTTCTTTTGCTTGAGTATTTGATAGACAGATAGCATTGGGGGAATGCACTTGTATCATCTAGAGCAAATATTTTGCTTTAACATGAAAGAAAAGAAAGATAAGAAAGAAAGAAAAGAAAGAAAGAAAATTGACTTGGGACTTTCTGAAGTTTAGTTCATTTAATTCTGCAAACCGGTGCTTGCAAAGTACTAGCACAAAGGAATTGCTGCTCAGCTGTATAATACATCCTTCCTCTCAAGAATTTTATTAGGCTAGTTGTAAACAAACTATCATGGCTTATTTGATTGGTCTGGGGTTTTGTTTTCTGCTGTTGAGTTGTTTGTTGTGGGTTTATTCTTTTTTGCAAAGAGGGATGCTTTGCAATGGGATGATTTTAGAGACGTTTGCAGCAGTAAAGCTTTTTTGTTTAGAGTACACTAAGCATAAATTAAAGTGCATTTTGAGTAACATTTTTTAGGGCTGTCATGACATTGCAGCATTTAGAATATTTTTCTTTTTTAGTGGATTGGCTTAAGGTTACTCAATTCAAATTGAGAATTTGACCTTTTTTTTCTCTAGTGGATTTCAAAATTTTGTTTAACTAGGTGATTGGGAACTGCATGATTTAATCTTGGTAATAATGTGCCAGAGACAATAGGGCAGCATAGGCAACACTCCTGAATGGTACCATTTGTTTGACTGGAACAGTCGAACGGCGTGGATGGCAGTGTGATGACAACACAGAATCTTGCACGCTTACAGTCAGCATCAGTTGTTTTCACAGGAATCAGGACCATATCTACATTTTCCACAGCTGTATTAGAGATGTGTGGGTTGTTACACACACTTAAGTTTTATGTTATGACTTGCTGCTGTTTTCCAATAAAAATAATGCTACCATTTTTAGGCCATTCTAATTACATACAAACTTTAGTGTCACTTAACTTTCTGCTGCCACTGTAAGTAGAAAAATGTTATGATTTTGTTCCTATCTACATATTCATCATTAGTTCTTGACGTAAATACCTGGCCTTACCACTAATGTCAAAAAACAATGTACATTTGTGTAGTAAAATTAAGTTTAATTAAGTTAAAAACCAAGCCACGGAATTTCCAGAAAGGGGGGACTTGATGGGTTGTGGCTTTTAGCAAAAAAACAAACAAACAAACAAAAAAACCTCACCTAAATAAGTCTATTTTTCTTAGCATAAAAGCACTGTTTGCAACATCCTTAGAAGTTAAAACGAAAACAAAGACATAATTTTGGAGTGGCTAAATAAATAGGTATTGAAGTAGAAACATTAATAAAAAAAAGTCCAGTGAAACCTTATTAATAAATGAAGCCTATTTATTACTTCAAGTGTTAATGGTAAAAAAAATTCAGCACAGCTGTTGCATTTAAAAAAGTGAACCTACAGTAAGTACTATGTTTTCTAGTTCAGTAAACAGATGAACCCGATGTCCTTTAATGACATAATAGTTGAGCATTATACAGTACATCTTATGAAGACCCGTAAATTAAAGAACTACTTTTTAAACTTAGTGATTACAAAAATTCTGCATTCACAGCTTTAGCTTCTTTTTTCTTCCACGACCATCAGGAGTACCATCCATTTTGCGCTTCTGTGCCTGTAAGGTAAGTTTTTAAAGTAAGTTATTGTGACAGAGAAAAATTTTAAGTAATGCATAAAGTCAAAACAGCTAGAGATCACAGGGTAACCCTGGCAGCTTAAAACGTGATAAATCACAAATGCAGAATATGTGAATATGCACATCCCACTCAGGACAGTAATGGTCTTGTACTCTCTAATCCTGAAATAATACCATTTCACAGAGGAAAAAAAAAGTATAGAAACAAATAAGGAGCTTATAAATAAAGCTTCCTTACTTAAACAGGCATTCAGAAATACCATTCCTTAAGTATTTTGAGAACAGTTCTTTGTAACAACTTTAAAAACAAAATATAGGTAAGAAAAGGGGTAGAAGTTGTAACTTCCTTTACAGAAAAGGTCTGCATGTTTCGCAGTACTTCACTTAGCAGAGTACTGTCATGCATATGTGCTTGTTTTCCCAAATCTAGCTCTAGAGACCATTTCATGACCACCACCACCCAAAATAAGGCACACGATGGCAGGCAGCAATGTCTACATCAACTACATACCACCCCTCAGTGGCAGACATTATTTCTTTATGGATAAAAACTAATAAAAAGGCTAAGTAAGTCTTAATGGCATTTTACCAAGGTAAACTCATATAGCCCAGAACTCAGTGATCAAAAACATAACAAGCTATCTGCTCCAAAGCATGTGAGCTACAGTTTAGAACCCAAACTTATTTTGCATCCGCTAGGGTACTTAACTGAATGACAGTAGTAAACTTTAAGCAGCACTTAGGACTGCCCTATAAGGTTTTTTGTTGTGTGCTTTCTTTAATTAAAGAAATAGCTATCACTAGGCCTAGACAAAGCACGCTGTCTTCAAGTGAGCTTTTCTACAAAAATGCTTTTTTAAATCTTACCGAAGATGGTTTTGGTCCACGTTTCTTCTTTTCTGCCTTTTCCTTTTCTTCCAGTTCCATGTTTTCTCTTTCAATCAGGGTGATTAAAGTATTGCATCTCCTTTGCAGCTCCTAAATTACAAAACATAGTCAGTCACTCACTACTTTAGGCAGCCAGTTCATGTAAAAAGCATCATGTCAGAATACTAGAAATGCCAGTAAGTAGTAAGTTTGTTTGTTTTTCATCATGCAAAACCTTGGCAGAGTGAAAAAGGAATGAAACAAATTTTTTATGGTAGTTACTGGCTGGCTTCATAGGAATGGATTTGATCACAGATGTTTGTTTTTAAAACAGATTTGTATTTAATTCAAATTCATGTTGATTTTGAAACACAGTAGCTTGGAATTTACATTTCTTCTCTCAGGAGACTTTTTAGTTTATTCCATTTGTCATCCATTACAGTTGCTGTGGAAAGTCTTTAAAAAATTAATATAGTGACCACACGCACATACCTGACTATTTCAGAAGTGATTTAGTAAGCTTGCTATGTAACTGTGGTGTGCTGTCAGAGGTGTTTGTGAGCCAAAGAGCACAACAGATTAATACATACCATTGCAGTTCTGGACTTGAGAAACCAGTCAAATCTGAATTGTGGTGAGTTTCGGATACACTGTCTTAATTCATCATAGACGTTTTCCTTATCAAATCCTAGCTTGTGAAGCATACAGATTAGAAAGCGATCCTCTTCTTCAGTATAATTCTTCCCCTTATTGGTACCATATGATATTCTTAGCTGGTGGAAGGGGGCTTTGTATCTGCCAATCTAAACAAAACAAGACCATACATAACTAAGAAATCCTTTAGAAACATAGAACTGTTTTCTCTGAAAGCAAAAAAATCACCTGCCAGGCAGATGAACAATACCATATTAGAAAACTAGAGCTTTTATGATCTCTGGTCCTGAAAGTCACCATGTTTAAGGAACTGTAGATTCTAGACACTAATTCACTAATTTCATTTACTAATATCATCTAAGCACCCAGCTTTGTCACGTTTGTCTGCTTGCCTGTTTGACAAATAATCTTTTGATTGTGCAGTGCAGGCCTGACACTACATTTGAAAATAGTTAAAATCTGCCAGCCTGCAACGGGCAATGATTCTTTTTAACAAAAAAATCTTCAGAAATGGTCAAAAGCAAAGGAAAAGAAAAAGGTACATGGCTCAGCTGCATTTTGGTTAATAGAGTGAGACACTGTTTTTCCCCTGACTTCTTTAGAAGAGGAGCTAGTCAAGCCTAAGGTAGGTAAAAATGTCTGGTATTTGTTTCAAGTGTCTTAACATATTACAAATCTCTTTGTTACCAAGCCCCGGCTGGTGAAACGCGCAGGATCAAAGAAAACTCCACTGACTGGTAAGTCTTCTCTTTTTAAGTAAGTCCTCTAAAAATATATGTAGCATTTCAGCTATGTGGGTCCAATCAGAAATTGTGCTTCTTCAAAAAGCACATAGTTACTGGGAGTGGATCACAGTACAATCAGTTCATAGTGCCATATAACA